GGGGTTTCCATGGGTGCCCTGAGGCCCCTGAGATTAGGGGGGTCCCGTGGGTGCCCCTGAGGCCTCTGAGTGCCCCCGGGGTCCTGTTGGTGCCCCAGAGATTCGGAGGGTGGGGTGGGTGGGTGTCCCATGGGAGCCCCTGAGGCCTCTGAGTTGCCCCTGAGTTCCTGTGGGTGCCCCTGAGATTGGGGCGGTTCCCACGGGTGCCCTTGAGGTCCTGTGGGTGCCCCTGAGGTTGGGGGGCAGGGTCCCAGGGTGCCCCTGAGGCCTCTGAGTGCCCCTGAGGTCCTGTGGGTGCCCCAGAGATTGGGGGAGTGGGGTGGGAGGGTGTTGCATGGGAGCCCATGAGGCCTCTGAGTTGCCCCTGAGTTCCTGTGGGTGCCCCTGAGATTGGGGCGGTTCCCATGGGTGCCCCTGAGGCCTCTGAGTGCCTCTGAGGTCCTGTGGGTGCCCCTGAGATTGGGGGCAGGGTCCCATGGGTGCCCCTGAGGCCTCTGAGTGCCCCTGAGGTCCTGTGGGTGCCCCTGAGATTGGGGACGAGGAGTCCCATGGGTGCACCTAAATGCTCCTGTGGAAGCTTCAGAGTCTGGGGGTCCCCAGGTGCTCTTCAAGGTCCCCTGGGTGCCCCAGAGAGTTGGGGGGAGGGGGGGGGCATCCCTGCCCTTCAGTCTGGGTGAGCACAGACCCCCCAGGGTGAAGGCACGGGTGTTCGCCCCGGTCCCTCCCGGCCCGCGAGGCTGAGCCGGGTGTTTCTGCCGCAGCTGCTGGGCTGTACTACCTGGCGGAGCTGATCGAGGAGTACACGGTCGTCACCAGGAGGATAATCAAATACATGATCTGGGTAAGTCGTGCGCTTGCAGGAGCAGGCGGCTCCTTGCCGAAATCACCCCTGGGGCAGCAGTGGGGCCGGCAGAGCACCTGCAGCCTGGGACATTGGCTCTGGACGGAGGGGACAAGGGCTTGGGAAGCTCCTGCTTCCCGGGGCAGCTCCGGCTTCCGAGGAGGGAGGTTGGCAGGGGTGGCTTTGATTGGCAATCCCACCTAACCGGGGCGGTGATGATCCTGCCTAACCCCTCCTGGGCAACTCCTCTCCCCCCTGGCTGGGGAAACTGAGGCCCAGCCGTGGCGTGTCCTGCCAGGAGCTGTGGCAGCAAAGTGGGATTCCCGTTTGGACCTTTCCCAAGGGGCCAAGCGGGAGTTGTCCAGGGAGGTGTGGTGCCCTCGGAGCGCGTTAAAAATCACCTTGACCGTGGGAGGATCCCTGCCTGTGCAGCTGCCCGCACCCCCGTGTCTGCCCCAGGCGAACCCCGTTCTCTCTTCCAGTTCTCCTCGGCCGTGCTGGTCGGCCTCTACCTCTTCGAACACTTTCCCGGTTTCATGGTGGGCGTGGGGCTCTTCACCAACCTGGTCTACTTCGGTTTGCTGCAGACCTTCCCCTTCATCGTCCTGACCTCCTCCAATTTCATACTGTCCTGCGGTGAGTGGGGCCGTCGCCTTCCCTGGGGAGCGGGCGCCGGGGCGGAGGAAGCCTCCTCACCCCCATCACCGGGTGGGCTCTGGGGGGCAGCAAAGGTTTGGGTTTGCTGTTGCTCCGGAAGGACCTTGAGCTTTTGCGCGGTACTTTTTAATCACGCTTTGTGACCCGGCTGCCATAATTGGGGGCTGGGCCTGGGGTGGTGTGGGAAGCGGTGTCGGTTGTGCGCTCGGGTGCCGAGCTGGGGACGCTGGGCTTCCCCCGGCCCGCTCTGCTTCACGCTCCGGCTGCCCCGCTCCAGACGCAGGCGGGAGCGCCGGGGGAATGAGATCCCGGGTGCCCCAAAGCTCGGCGTCCTCCCTGCAGAGCCGTTCTGGGCGTTCACCGGCTCTTGATAAGGAGACGGAAGGTTTTGAAGCAAAGGAAAAACCCAGCGTGTGTGTAACGACAGCCTGACGTCACGCTGGGCTGTGCGCGACGGCGCGCGCGTGTCATCGTAAGGAGCTGATCTTTCAGGGAAAGAATAGCTTTGAGACAAATGCTGGCAATTGGTGTGGGAGTTCATCGGGGTTACTGGGGAAGCCCCCTTAGCAAAGCGCGTTGCCGAGCTTAAGAGCAGGGATTTTTTGTTTTTCACGTTTGCACCTTTCCTGCGGTATTTGCCGAGCCCCCGGCTGGGCTGCGGCTGCCTGGGCAAGCCCTGGTGCGAGATGGGCACGAGGGTCTCTGCTCTCACCCGAGCAGCGGGCGCGGGGGCGTGGTGTGGGCTGGGGCAGGGGCTTAAATTAGCAGCGCCGATATTTTGGCCCAAGCGGGCCGGGCTGATGACCAGCCAGAGCCGTGTCGTGGGCTGAGCCGGCTGGGGCAGGGGCTTAAATTAGCAGCGCCGATATTTTGGCCCAAGCGGGCCGGGCTGATGACCAGCCAGAGCCGTGTCGTGGGCTGAGCCTGGGAGTGGCTCCCCCCCCGGGCCTGGGGTGGTGGGCCAGTGGCTCTGCTGATTAAACCGGGGTTTTGGCTGCTCTGGGTGGGTCAGGTGGTTTCCTCCCACCGTGGTTCGCCACGTCTCCTGCACGTTTTAGTGTCCTGTGCGCGGGTCTGACTTGAAATCTCCACTCTGACTGATTTGTCGTGGCGCCTGAAGTAGCGAACGGGCAAAATCTCTTCCAGCGGGACTTTCTGGAGCCCTTGTGCACATTTCGGGGTGCTGCCTGCGTGTGCCTAAAATACCTTTGCCCCCCCAAAGCCTTCACGTAGGCAGGATTTTATCCGCTGCTCGAAAATGAGCGCGGCTCTCCCGTGGTGCGTAGATCAGGAGCTGCAGTTTTTGTCAGACCTGGACTCCCCTCAGGATCGTCGGTGCCGTCCTGAGGCTGGAGAGGAGGACGAGGCAGCGCGGGGCGCAGCCTTCTGGGTCTCTTGCGGGGGCTTTACTGACCCGGTGCTGCCGGGCTGGGGCTGCTCTCTTGACATCTCAGATAAAAGGCGAAAGAAGCTCCGATTGCTGCCTTTTAAGAGCTAAGTGGTGTTCTCTGCTGCCGAGGACAGCGCGAACCCTGCTGTCCTGGCCGCATTTCAGCTTGACTTGGTTCACAGACGGCAGAAGAGCTTCTCTCCGCAGCAGCTCCCGGGGACGTGGGGGTTTTTTTTTTTCGCTTCTTCTCCCAGCGCTGCGCAGCATTAGCAAGTGTCAGGCTGGGCTCTCCGGGGTGCCCTCGGGGACACGGGGATTAAAGCGCCAGCGGGACGAGGGACTCGAGTGACAGGATGGAGCAGGGACGGGGGGGGACTCTGGCTGCTCACACCATTTCTCACTAGACGCGTGAAAATATTTTAGCAACGGCAGGATTCCCGGTGCAGAGGGGCTGCGGGGAAGGGGCGGCGTGGCCGTGGAGGTGGATGGCCTCTTCCGGGGGCCTGGAATACGCCACCAGTTTTCCTTCCAGGCTGGCGACTTGACTTTGCTGTGCTTTCCTTTGGCAGTGCTGGTTATATTCAATCACTACCTGGCATTCCAGTACTTCGCCGAGGAGTATTACCTGTTCTCTGAGGTGAGGGACCGTCGGGAAGGAGTCGATCCGTGTTCTTGCAGCCGGCGTGGAGCTGCTGGCGGGAGGGGGGGAAGGGGGAAATGCCATCTTTTCGGTCAGCGGTAAGGCACGCTGAAGATATTTTTCGCAGCCCTTCCCTGGGGGGCTCCTGTGCTTGTTCCCTCACAAGTACCAGGGAAGCTGCGGTTTCTTTTCCCGAGTGTGGACCTGGGGCTTTCTCAGCCAGCTGAAGGGCAGAAATACTGAATCTGAAGCACAGATTTTTTTTTTTTTTTCTTTTTTCTGAAATGCTAAAAACTGGAAAAACCAGAAAACAACACTATATTTTATTTATTTATTTATTTTTATTACAAGCTAACCACGAATCACTTCCCCTGTGGCATAATTGCTCCTCGTTGTGCCTCTGGCGTGGTGATTCCCCTGTCTCGCCACCCTCACGCTTGCCGAGATGAAGGTCCGAATTCACTGAGGGGCTTGTTTGGGCCCAACAGCAGCTGCCACTTAGCGCAAATTTTAAAACCAAACAAACGAAACCTCCACCAAAATGAAAAAACCAACCCCTTTTTTATGCCGTTTAACACTTCTCCAGCATTTGAGCACACTAGGAGGCTGGCGTGGCAGCTCGGCACCTCTCGGCTCTCCCCAAACCGCAGCGGCTGCTCCCCCAAGCCCCGACAGCGTCCCAGCCCGGGGCAGGAGCCAGCCCAGGTCTCGCCTCTTCCTTTTAGTCCCCGGAAGGTGTGAAGAGGATTTAATTAGTCCTAACAGCACAGCCAATTTCCTGCTTGTGTAACTGTGCCCTTTACGATTCTGGGCTTTGGGAGCAGGAAAGGTTTTCAGGCGCCTAGGACGGGAGCGAGGGCTTTTCCTGCGCACCCCAACCTTCTGTGGAAGCTGCTGGGTGAGTTTTATCCCCATGCCAGCATCGCAGAGCGACGCCATCTCGGCACCAGAGAGACTCAGGAGGGGTTGAGTTGCGGTTCTCCCCCGTCGGCACCCTTTCTCTCGAGGGGTTCGGGTAGGAACGGGGGGTGCAGCACTCACGGCTGTCAGCCCGGGCAGAATTCGGCATGCGAAGGGCCGCTGGGTGCACGGCGGCTCTGCTCTCACTGCCTCTCCTGCTCTGCCCCCAGGTTCTCGCCTACTTCACGTTCTGCCTGTGGTTAATTCCTTTTGCTTTTTTCGTCTCCTTGTCGGCTGGGGAGAACGTCCTGCCTTCCACGGTGCAGCCTGGAGGTGAGCGCTCCCGGGGCCCGGGCAGACGCCCGCTGGTTTTTGACAGGGGCTGTGCTCAACACACCCCCTTCCCGATGCCCGGAGGAGGGAAGGGGGGGAGCTGGTGGGGTAAACCCTTCCGAAAGGCGAGGCAGGGAAGGGCAGGCTTCTGCAGGGTGAGGGTGAGCGGAGTGAGGGCTGTCCCAGCTTTACCTCCTCCATCTCTCCAGTCCCAGGGCCCTGTCACTTTTCCTGGACTCTCCCTACAGCTCGAGAGAGGGAGCTCAGGATGGGGGCTCCCTGGCAGTGGCTCCCTGGCACACCCAGGCAGCCCAGATGCCAGCAAACCAGAAACTCCCGCGCTTTAAAGGCAGCTCACGCGAGGCCCTGAAATCAGGCGGCACCTCCCAGGGCTCCCGCGGCCGGCGGCGGGTTTGTATGTGATTGTTCTTCCCTTCCCTCCGCAGACGACGTCGTCTCCAACTACTTCACCAAGGGGAAGAGGGGCAAGCGCTCCGGTATCCTCCTCATCTTCTCTTTCATCAAGGAGGCCATCCTGCCCAGCCGGCAGAAGATTTACTGAGCCCCCGCTACGGCCGGCGTCGGCTGCGGTGGAAGGAGCAGGGCAGACCCAAACTGTGCAGAGGGCTGCGAGGCGGCACCGTCCCCAGGCCTCGCTCGGACCCTCCTCCATGTCTCTGGAAGGGATTTTGCAAGAAAACTGTAAACTGGGCGACGGCCAGAGGTGCCAGCGGCGCTGGACGGACGCGCAGGGAGGGCTCGCGCCTTTTTATACGGCTCTGCTGATCCCCCGGGGCTGTGTGCAAGAAGGATGCTGGGCTCCAGCCGAGCGCGAGGAGGGCCTGGCCCCCCCGGCGCTGCCCACCCTGCTCGGGGACCTGGGAAGCGTCGTCATCTGCTGGGGTTTAAAGCCAGGAGTTTGTGCGTGGTGTAGTTTGGCTGTGGGGGAACCGTTCCCTCGGTGCGGCCGCAGAACATGCTTGACATTTAACTGAGGTCTACACAGAGCCATTAATTAAACAAACAAAAAAAAAAAAAAATAGAGAATAAAGTCACCAAACTGTCAAACCCCCCCGTGTTCTGGCTGGGAGCCTGCCAGCGCTGGAGGATGCTGGAGTCCCCCCGTGCAGCGCCAGGGCGGGCGCCTCTCCCTGCGCGCCGCAGCTGCGGGGAGCTGACCTGGAAGGACTCGACGGCGCTTGGGGTTTTTTTGGTTTGTTGTTTTGATTTTTAACGTTGGAAAGGCTCGGTTCTCTCTGGTTTTACTGGAAGCCTCCCCGAGCGGCCGGGATGCTGCGGCAGTGCTGGCCGCCTGGCTCGGGCCCCGGGAGGCTGATCCTCCGCTCCGCGTGCGTGGGCTTGGCGTTCCCGGTGCTGCTAAACCCCGTTCCTAAAGGGGAAAAAAAAATATCGCACTGAGAAGGAGGTGAACCCTTCGTTCTTGTTCTTTGTAGTCATAAAAACCACCTTTTCCTCCCCTTTTTTGTGTTGTTGGTCCTCTCCAGCCTGTGCCAGAACCTGATCCCCTCGTGCTAGCCAGGAGCCGGGGCCGTGCGCGGCTCGGCAGCGCCGCTTCACCGTTCGGGACGGCTCATTGAGGAGTTTCTGAGGAAAACAGCTTCGTTTTGTGGCTGGGGGGGGGGGGGGGGGGGGGGGGGG